TTGGCCTGATCTGCTATGATCCTTTGCAGTCAATTTATTCAGGCATCTGCAAGAGCAATTTTGCATCTGTCTTAACAGTTCTCTAGGTATGCAGTAATGACAAGAGGAACAAGGAATTATGGGGAAAGAAGTAGGCTCACCTACTTTTGACTCTGACGCTATCTGCCATTATTTTTAGCCTTTTCGATGGCTGGCATGTTTTCCCTAAGATTTATTTCTTTGTGGTCCCTATGCCTCACACAGCTGGAGTCTTGTATCTGTGGAGGGCCATGATGGAAATGTCCCACATCTAGATATGGGAAGCCCATCCCTCTTCCTGCAACAGAGTGCACTATACCACTGCTTCTTAAACTGTGGGTTCTGACACTAAGTGGTGTACCCTTAGCTCAATATTGGGGTCATGAAAAATTCGGCAACAAAGATGTCTGAACGCCACCTAGTAAGTGTTCTAGACATTTGCATGAATCTGTTGTACAGCGCCTACAGCAGATGATGCAGAAAATGCTTCAGCTGTATTCCACCAAAAAGAAAACCAGCCTGTTTAATAAGCCTTGGAAAGGGTGATTTTATTATCAGAAAATGTGTGGTTTTTATCCCTATTTTATATACGTACTAGTTTGGGTACCCAACGTTGCCCAGGATATTTGAAAAAGTCATTTTTAATTGTACAAAATGCATAAGGTTGTGGGTGAACTACAACTCACATGCCAGGTTAATCCCAAGAAACTCCATCAGTACTTAAATTTTGTTATGTTGGGCAAGATTGCTCTAGATGTGCCATCAGTGGGGTTCAGTGTGCTCTCTGGCTGTAGAGTAAACTACAACTCCCACTATGGTGAGTCAGTCCCCTCAAACCCCTCCAGTAGGTTGTTTGTCATGGGGGGTTCTGTGTGCCACGTTTGGTCCAAGCCCATCACCAGTGGAGGTCACAGTTTTCCTGGTTGAGGGTGAACTGCAACTCAGAAAAGAAGGTCAGTTCCCCTCAAACCCCTCCAGTAATCAGATTTCAACATATCAGGTATGTATGTCTAGTTTGGTCCAGATCAATTGGTTTTTGGGTTCACAGTACTCTCTGGATATAGGTGAATTACAACTCCCCCAAATCAAAGTGAATTTCCCCCAGTTCCAGGTCCATCGTTGGTGGAGTTCAGAGTGCTCTTAGATTACAGGTGAACTTTAAATCCCAGTACCTACAACTCCTATAACTTATGGTGAATTCTCCCCAAACCTTTCTAGTATGTTCAGTTGCTGATCAATTCTTCTGTTTGCTGTGTGCCATAGAAAAGAATAGGAAAGTGTTAAGGGGGAGGCAGTGGGTGGAGTCATGCAAATTCCACACCAATGGAGAGAATAAGAAACAATGCGATGTCTGTGGTGGAGAAACACATAAAATTTAAGATGAAATTGTCCCTATATGGAAGCCTTCACTTGAGTGGTGGACAGTATGGTGTTTGTGGAGGACATTGGCAGGACTCTTGGACATGTTCATGGTGCTCACTATAACCTGCAATGTCCTTGGAGGGAGGGCTTTTGGTGTCTCCTGACTACTGGGAGCTATAGCTGTTTGTGGAAGCAGGAGCTTGTCTGTGTAAGTGGACACCCTAGCCACATACATATTTTCACTTTTATTTGTGTGTAGAAGATAATATCCAGAGCCACATAAAAAATTATTGGGTAGAAAGGGATTGCAGGTGGAAAAGTCTAAGAAGTCTTGCTCCATACCATCAATGCTATGTTCTTTCCCTTTAGTTTCTTTCCATCGATCACAACAGCAACAGCATTTGGAGTGTTATTTTGAATAGCAACCTCCTTCCTTTTTTCTCATTATTAACATTTCTTTTCTCATATTGTTTATTTCTTAATTAAAATTTTATTTATCTACATCTTCTGAATGGGTATCTGTTTTGTTTCAGGGCCTACCGATTTCCATGTACGGAGGCACTATAGTCCCTTCTCACCCTCAGCTCGCTGATGGACCAGGTGGCCCTCTTTTCAATGGACTGCATACTCCGGATCCAGCATGGAATCCTATGATAAAAGTTGTCCAAAATTCAACAGAATGTACTGATGCTCAGCAGGTGCAGTAATTAACCACTTTCTTGTACTTTTAACAGTTCAGGCTTTTGCCTTAAATAATAAAATTGAAATCTTGTGAGAACACAACAGGCTTCTTGTTTTTCCAATTTCATGTTAAATTTTCCTAAAATGTTTTAATTACGTGTGTGTTTGTGTGTTATACCTTGTATGCTAGAGGCGACCTTTTCTGTTCAGGTCTTGAGGGTTGGCTCATGAAATAATGATCAAACCTACATGTTGTTGAAGAGCAAAGTGAAGGACATAAGCCAACGATGTTAGCATTTGACTTGACAGTAGTATATATATGAATGGAGGCTTGAACATTTAATCCCTTTTATGTTGGAGCCATACTCTAATTTGCTAGATTTGAGGGGCTCTGCCGTACTGAAGTTATTTAACTCATTGCAGGGGCAATACTGCTATACCCTGAAATTAACTTCCTATATGTTTCTCCTGTTGTAGATTTGGCCTGGTACCTGGGCACCTCACATTGGAAACATGCACCTCAAATACGTCAACTGACTTAGGAGGGCCTACGTTTTCTTTTCTTTTCTTTCTTTTCTTCTTTTTTTAAGCCTTGTTTGGAGAAAACTATGACCTTGGAAGAACTTGGGAATTTTTTAAATGTGCCTAACTAAGCATTTTTTTTCCTGTGGGCCATGACAAGGAAAAAAAACTTGTTTGCCCATTGTGTAAGAACAAAATGAACCTATTCAACTGATTCTGTTCTCCAGTTAGTTTAGCCATTTTGAACTCAAAATCAGATGAACCTAGTGCTTTTGGCTAAACACTACTGAATGCTACTTGTATGCAGCAGAGAACTAGATGATTACATGATTTCAACCTTTTAGGGTGGTAAATACATGTATAATTGTTTACATACTTAAAAGGAAAAACGTTGAGTAAATTTCATGTCGTATAGTGGCTCTACTTTATGTAGCCTGTATTAATGTGAAATATTTACCTGAATATTCAATAAAAAGATGAACATTATAGGCTTTGTGTACTAATATTGATGATATCGTACTGACTGTTACTGAATGATAACACTCAGTAGCATTTCTTAATTTGGATTTTGAGTATTCAGAGATTATACTTTTTTGTATTGGTACTTTCAAATTAATTTCAGTTTTTAAACATATCTATAGAGGTTGTGAGAAGTGCTTCTAAATACTAAATTGAACACTCCTTCCCATATTTTGCCGAATTTGCTACAAAATCATATAGACTGGAAGGTACACAAATGTACTGGAGGGCAGTAGCATTATAGCTAAGAAATAGGTTTATTCACTGGACATAATTTACCACAATGGGACAGGATTGTTGCCAATAAGTACTCATAACTCTGAAGCTTTAAAAAAAAACCATTATAATTTACCTCAGAACTGAAATTACATTCTTTTAAGCATAGGGAGTACTACCTGATTCCAGCTTTAAAAATAGATCTAATATTTTTATTTTAAAGAAATTGGAAAACAATTAAAATACTCATAGAGTAGGGGGGGGAAAGACTATCACTCTTAATGGCCAGATAAAAGAAACTGACTGCCATAAAACACATAGTGGTAGTAGCATAGAGGGATAGCAGGTCTATAATTTTGTCCCTATCATTTAACAAAAAAATGACATCTAGTGGGTATCTTGACCCCAAGCTACTTTTAAATCAAAACATGCATCTTGAAGTGAGATTAGAAGTAAACCAGAAGCCATTGGAGCAAAACCAGGGCGGTGTGTATAAAAAGCTCCAGAGAACTTTCATCGGGACCTTCTTGCAGGTGTCAGGCAAAAGTATTAAACCTTGCAGGACACTAGGACAACAATTTTGAGGATGAAGAGCAGCCTGGCAGCACTATTTTCTGGGAACGTTCAGCCAAACAGGACAAGAACTGCAAAAAATGTGCCCTGATGCCTCAGATCAGCAGAATGGTCTCATAGGGTTTTGTGATCAATGTTATTGAATGCATCTGAGATAACCAGTAAAACCAATAGGTATATACTTCCTCATGCAATTTCTTATGTAGGTACCAACCAAAATTGTTTTTGTTCCCAAACAAGACTGGAACCCAAATTGGAATCCTTCAGTTCTGTTTAGGAAATCTTAAAGAGTTGTGAGGCCTCTGTTTCCTCTAAAATATTGTATTAAAAATAAACATTAAAAATGGGATGAGTGTTAAGGGGCTGGTAGAAGCTCTCGTGTTACTCTGAGAGGTCTTTTGAGGAATTGGAACACAACCCTGTTTCAAACAAACAATTTCTAATGCACAATGTACTAATACTCTGGCAGGTGTTAAACAATGAAGATTGACATAGGTCTAATGAATTAGTGGTTGGCATCTCTCCCCCAGGCAGTGTGCATATGCCCACTTTAATTACATAGAATCTCACCCATCAAAGTGTATATTTCACTTATGTCCTCAAAATCAAGCTTGAAATGAAGTCCAGGCTAGAATGGATTTGGACAAAATGTCTATAAAACAAATTCTGCATATCACACAAAGCTTAGCAAACAGCAGCTGGGGCTGACTGAAGAAGCATTGATATCCATAGCTCTTCTAGCAGTGCTGAAGCTTATTTAGATTGTACTTTAAGTGCCTTTGGTTTCTCACGGCCACTATTAGATGTATGTGTAGCAAGGCAAACTATCATAATCGTATTTGGATTAAGATCTGGAGACTAGGAACTGGTTCAGCGTGTATTATATATACAATATTAAACCACAAACGTTTAATAAGGGGGATTCTGCTAATTAATTCAATGGCAGACACTTGTTACTTGTCGTTTTTTCCCACTTGAAAGATCAGAATCCAGGTTAGATTGTATCACAAGTGTTATGTATTGCCACTTGCTCAAAACAGCAGAATGCTGCCATTTTGCTGAACTGGTCATGAGTTTTAAAAACATAATGAATTTCTACTTATTACCCATTTACACAGTACAATTCTTTTATTCTTGAATGGCAGACACACTTCAGTCATTACTAAAATTCACCTGTTCTCACAAAGGTATCAGACATGACTGGTTGAAAGTGGGGGGTGGAATAAAAACGGGTTTCCCCAAATATCTTATTTTAATATTGCAAAACAAGATGGAAACAGATTTCTCTAAACAGGACACTTTACACTGACAATTTAATATTGGATGAAACTAGCATAAAAGGATGTGCTTTTGCTGTGTGAATGATTACACTGCAGTTCATGGGCTGGATGATGCTTACACACATCACAGAGGCTGGCCTTAAACCAGTCACCGTGGAGAATGTCCCATTCTGTTTCTGGAAGGAACATGTGCAAATCAGCGGAGCACTTTAGGTGTCTGCACAGTGATTCACGTTCTGTGGAGTCATTTAATGTCTTCTTTTCAAAGTAAGTATTCTCCAACTTTACATCTCCCATTTTAAAGAGCTTAAGGTACACTACAAGCGCATATTCACAAAGTGTGCTTGTAGTGTACCTCACATTACGTCAACAATGCACTCTTAACCTGCCTTTAAACTTCATTAAATGACCAGTGTAGATGTGTCCATAGTCACTTTGGTAAAAATTAACTCAGAATTGATTAAATGGGGAGACAGAGTTTAAAGGTTCAAGAGACATCAATAACACACACCAAGGTGCAATTATCTGGAAATCGACAGTTATATTTCATATAGTGCACATTTCCCAGAAAAGTCACACAAGTTTGAATAAAGAATTCCAGATTTATAAGGATCACCAGAAACAACGCGTATTTACTTGGAGTGGTGAGATCTAGGATAGACGTTTGCGGTAGTGGAATGTGCCAATTTTTTTTTCTCAGCCATTTGCCAGTGTGCTACACAAGGGTCTATGTACTACTGTATTAAGGAACAGCTCTGTTGCAACTGTATCCCCAGTCCATTTTCATTTTGCATGAGCAAATACAAGTTAAGGCTGTCCGTTTTAACCTCTGCCACTACGGACTTCTGAAAACTGCAGAATTTACTTGAAAGATTCTCCTTCATGCAGCTTTGCTCAATTCAGCCTAAGTAGAAAAACCAGTGCTTAGCCGAAAAAGCAACATGCCTGTTGAGGGCCAGATGTCATCATCCATTATTAGGGAGCAAAGGTGTCTCCGAATTGAGGTTCAGTCTTATAATACTAAGACCATGAGCTCAGCTCAATCATGTTGACATTCTGGCTCCAAAGAGGTTTTAACTTTCTGCTCATGTTCTACTGTGGCTAGATCCTCTGTTGGCAAGTTCCTTGATTCTGCAATGAGCCTTTTGACTCCCACCATCCACTGGTTTACTTCAGTGACATGGTCCACCATTAGCGAGCGATGGATCTCATCAGCAGCATCCCAATGTTGATTCTTGAATTCTGAAAGGAAGAAGACAATGCCTCAGAACATCTTCAAGGGAACTCACTCCTAAAGAAACTACTAAACGAAGGAAAAACACGTGTATGATTTTATTCCCCATACTTCTTTCCTACTTATATTTTAGCAGTACTTCTGCAGTAATGCTTCGACAAAGAGGCCAGAGAAGCCCATAACATTTCAGCCATGCCGCAAAGCCTGTCATTGCTACTCACCGTGTATTAAAATCCTCATTCCCTTTCTCACAGGAGCTGAGAGTTTGCCTTGTTCCCACATCTGCTGCAAAATTACCAAGCGCTTGCCAATGTCATCACAAACCTGTTTCTGAAAACAGAAATACAAAATTTATTAGCAATGCTCTTACTCCTGTAATAATAGACATTATCTTAAATCATGCTTTTGTGATGGTTGAGTCCACTTTTATGATCCCAAACTGCATGCCTCCCTCCAACATTTTGGAGCTAGTAGGTATGCTAGGAATATGCTACAAGCCTCAGCAAGAATGGCTGTCATGAAATAGATGCCCATATAAAACATGCCGTGGGATGTCTGGAAAGTTATTCACAGAAGGCAAACTGGTGAGTTTAAAAGAAATCTGTTCAAGAAGCCAAGCACAAAATACAAAACTATCCCGCTGAAGTCACTTCCAAATCCATCCCTCAAATACCTTACGCTACACACAAATAAAACCCATGGACTCTTCTATGGCCATTAAAGAAAGAGTGCTATTCCATTTTCTCCCTTTTGATATAGTCTGCCTTACTCAGCCACCCTTTTCATCTGATAATGGCAGTGAGCCCACAAGGGTCCAGAGGTATTAGGGAATGATGATGCGATACTTTGTCGTGCTTTCTGGCTGCTACCACAGCAACTGATAACGCCCCCCTCCCAAATTAACATCTAGTATGAGGGCTACAGGGATTCGTGGGTCACAAAACATGTTTGTAGGTGCTACAGGGAAGCCTCAGTTTAAAATGAGATGGCTCTGCCCACCAGTCATGTGACTCTTGCCAGCATGTGTTCTTCAACAGAATATCCACAGGAACTGTGGCACTCAATAGAAAGAACTTAAGAAGGGCCACACTGAATCAAATTAAAGGTTTATTTTGTCCAGCATTTGTTCACACAGCAGCCAATCAACTGCCGGTGAAAAGCTGCTAATACAGGTGATCTTAAACTAGAATTAATGCAGTTTGGCACCACTTTTAACTGCTATGGCCCAGTGCTATGGACTCATGACAGTTGTAGCTTTACAAGGTCTTTAACCCTATCTGCTAAAGAGTGCTGGTGCACTGCCATGATTCCACAGCATTGAGTCAAGGCAGTTCAAGTGGTATCCTACTGCATTAATTCTACAGTGTGGAAGCACCATCAGTTTTAGTAGGCTAAGAATATGGCCAACTCAGCCTTCTTCAGCCCAGTGCCTTCCAAATACACTGGCATGTGTGCACTCAACATTTGGCACCTGGGGGATGCCACCCTGGCAAACTCAGGAAAATAAAGTAAGCCATAATTGCAGCTAATTAGACCCAAGAACTTTATTTACTCCAGAAAAAAGGGAAACCATGAGAAACGCCTGCGGCTCTTCTCACCCGCAGAGTCTTCCTGCAGTTATCCAGAGCCTCATTCAAAGGGGAAATAACATCTTCCATTGCACAGTCTTCTTCAGCCTCTGAGATAAGTAGATTTGTGGCATCCGCCCTCAGAGAAGGGCCTGGCAGCCCTGAAGGAGGAGGAGGCAGGCCCACAGGACATGGTGGGGACGCTGGCAGACCACCTAAAAAGGCAGGCATAAGTCTGAGTGGGAGAAAATGATTATTCAACATGCACCCAGTTTAGTGAATAAGTACAAACTAGGACCTAAAAATGAAAACCAGATAAATAAAAGTATGTTTGAAAGACCCATCCTTTAGTAGAAATGCCAGAAAATGTTGCACTACAATTCCCATCAGCTGGTGAGGGATGGTGGGAGATGCAGTCTAGTGACATCTAGTAAAACAAGCACATTTACTCCCATCTTAGATTACAATAAGACTTTGATTACTCAAGTTCAGGGTTTTCCATTCTTAGTCCTGGGAACTATGTGTGATGAAAGAAATATAATAGCCCTTTAAAAAGTATGCAAAGCCATCTTGTAGCACCTCAGAGATTAATACTGAAAGGATAAAGTTGGTAACAAGCTTTTGTAACCAAAGCCCTTTTCTTCAGGTGCATGGGCTGAAGTGTCTTTCAATTCTACTTTAACAGAAAATATCCTTCAAACCACAACTAAACAGACCTTCTGAGTATGTTAACCATTGCAATTGGAGAATACTATACAGAAGATCTTTCCAAACATTTCATGTTAGTGACACTATTTTGACATGCATAATTTTATGACAGTTATTCAGTTTTACTAGCAAACCAGAGGTTAAACCAACCCCTTATGAGATGCAGACATACAGATACATTGTAATAACAAAATGGATGGATCTTATGAAAACCTTTCATATATATTTCAAAATACCATATGTATTATTATTTCACACAGACACAGAGGTTTCTAGATACTTTGACACAGCACAAACTGCAGCCAACATACTGTGTCACATCACAGTTTGGAAAACTGTGTTCTAGAAGAATATGGTCACTCCTGCCTGAAGAACCCATTGCAACCACCCCATTTATCAAGACATCACTGTTGGTTAGGATCAGATCTAAAATAGATGATCCCCTTGTTTCCTCTTCAACCTTTTGGACCATGAAACTGTCTGCAAAGCAAATGAGTTTACTGGACCTGATATTCTTGACAGAGTTTGTTTTCCAACAAAATATCAGGATAGTCGAAATCTATCTTTATTATTTGTTTATCCCATTATTTTATTTTTTGTACAAGGGGCTATCCTTGACACATGATTTGGGAAGCTCTGATACAGAATGTTGTTTATGTTTCTCACTGACCACAATACATTTACAAGCTCTAATCACCTGAGTTCCACTCTTTGTGCCATTCCACTTTCTCACCTGTCACGGAAGTGGTTGCTTCCTGTGAAAATAAGGCTGAATAAGCATTTGCCTACTGAAATTGTACAGTAAAAACAGCCTCAGCTGTAAGTAATGGGTTAGATAAAAAAAACAAAGTGAAACTGAATCCAGACAAAACAAAAGTGCTTGCCATCAAGGGTGGATGTGTGTCAACCAGTCCTGGATAGGGTTACACTCCTCCTGAAAGATTGTATTTGCAGCTTGGGAGTGCTCCTGGATTAATCTCTCCAAATGTCAACCCAGAAAGATGTGATTGAGAGGAGTGCTGACTACCAGCTCCAGCTGATACACCAGCTGCACTCCTTCCTGGTGGGACCGAAAGAAGGGCCTCTCCTGATGATCTCAGGGCTCGTGTGGGCTGGTAGCAGGAGATGCAGTCCCTCAAGTAGGCTGGACCTGAACTGTTCAGGGCTTTATAGACTAAAGCCAGCACCTTGATTTGCACCCGGAAACAAATTGGGAGCCAGTGTAGCTTCTTTGGGACTGAAGTAATTCTTCCCCTATATCAGTGGTTATCAACGTGTGGGTCCCCAGATGTTTTGGCCTTCAACTCCCAGAAACCCTAACAGCTAGTAAACTGGCTGGGATTTCTAAGAGTTGTAGGCCAAAACACCTGGAGACCCACAGGTTGCGAGCCACTGCCCTATATCTGCTACCTTAAGATGTCTAGCTACTGACCTTTGGACCAGTTGAAGTTTGTTGGCACTAAGTAGCCTGGCAGCTGGAAAGCCTGGCTGTTGCTGCCTGGGGGTATCCGTTGTTTGGGAGGGTAATTATTATTATTACTATTGACACAAAAGCACAGTATGTCACAGCAAACGTGATCTATATGCTGGATTTCATATCACAAAATCACAAGTCGAACACTTCCCAAGTGTCTAGGACTGTGTGATGTATTTTTGAATGGTGTGCACAGATCCAAGCCTTTTGCAGTTGACAGATCGTGATRTTGTCAATGTTTATTGTTTCCAAATGCCGGCTGAGATCTTTTGGCACGGCAGCCAGTGCGCCAATGACCACTGGGACCACCTGTACTGGTTTACGCCAGAGCCTTTGCAATTCGATTTTGAGGTCTTGATAGCGGCTGAGTTTTTCCTGTTGCTTTTCTTCAATGCGACTGTCACTCGGTATGGCGACATCAATAATCCAGACTTTTTTCTTTTCCACAATTGTGATTATTATTATTATTATTATTTATTATTATTTCGTTTTCCTCTCAAAAGTCCATTAGCGAAAACAGTTTTTCTGTTCGTAAAGTGAAAAGAAAACTGGGTCACAACTATATCTGGGAGGCGCGGCTTTGTAGGCAGAAATATTGGGAAGGAGAGCAAATATACACAAAGAATGGGAAAGGGAGGCCCAAGGGGAGCGGGGGTCATTCCTGACCTGGTCCTGGGGGAGGAGGAGGAGGAGGAGGAGGGCCTGCTGGCGGTGTCGTCGTCTTCGCCGCCGTCCCCGCCGCCCTCTCCGTCGCTGCCCGCTCGGCCTCCGGGGGCGCTTCGGCGGGGCGTCGTGAGAGGGCCCCCCGCCTGGCCGCCCCGCCCCGCGGCCCCTGGCGCTGCTGCAGCCCGTACGAGAACTGCGGGGGGTCGTTCCAGCCGCGCTCCCGGTTCCCTACGAAAGAAGCGAGAGAGCCGTCACCCTCGGCCGGCCCTTGGCGCCCGCCCGCTCCTTCCCTCCCTCAGGGCCACAGGCCTCCCCTCCGCTCACCTGGCTTGACGTACAGCTCCGCCATCTTGACGCCGCCTCAGCTTCTGAAAGGTAGGAGAGGCGTCGCTTCCTGGCGGCGTGACGTGGCGCCTGCGCGAGGCCTCGGAGTGGGAAAGAACCCGGATGTGTCGTCGTGGCGACGCTCTCCTCGCGCCCTCCCTCTCTCACACACACTTTCCCCTCAGTCAGAAGGAGGAGGCCTTCCTTTTGCCCACTTTCGTTATTGTTGCTTCCTGCTGCGAGGCAGGCTGAAGGAGAGAGGAATATCTCCTTTGAAAGTATTTACAGAACACATACTTCTTAAACTGGGGCCATGCCTGACCCTTAGCTCAATGTTGGTGTCGCTAAAATTGGATAGAAGACCACCCAATTTAAATACCTAGGGCCACTGAGACAACCTGGGGATCACAACCAGACACAATGGTTGCCCTTGTGCTGTGCTACTCGTCCTACAGCAGGGTTGGATACTCTCACCCAACCTATTCAGCTTGTATGCAGAAGACATCATGCGATGTGCGGGGCCTGACGAATGCAAGGCTGGAAGAAACATTAACAACCTTAGATATGCAGATGATACCACTTTGATGGCCGAAAGCGAGGAGGAGCTGAGGAGCCTTCTAACCAAGGTGAATGAAGAAAGTACAAAAGCTGGGTTGCAGCTAAACATCAAGAAAACCAAGATTATGGCAGCCAGACTGATTGATAACTGGCAAATGGAGGCCGTGATAGACTTTGTATTTCTAGGTGCAAAGATTACCACAGATGCAGACTACAGCCAGGAAATCAGAAGACATTTACTTCTTGGGAGGAGAGCAATAACCAATCTRGGTAAAATAGTGAAGAGTAGAGACATGACACTGGCAACAAAGATCCGCCTAGTTAAAGCAATGGTATTCCCCATAGTAACCTACGGATCTGAGKGTTGGACCATAAGGAAAGCGGAGCGAAGGAAGATAGTTGCTTTTGAGTTGTGTTTGAGGAAAGTTTTGAGAGTYCCTTGTACCACGAGAAGATCCAACTAGTCCATACTTCAGGAAATAAAGCCTYACTGCTCATTGGAGGGAAGGATATTAGAGGCAAAGATGAAGTACTTTGGCCACATCATGAGATGGGAAAGCTTAGAGGAAACCAATGATGCTGGGGGAAATMGAAGGAAAAAGGAAGAGYGGCTGACTAAGGGCAAGATGGATGGATGGTATCCTTGAAGTGATTGACTTGACCTTGAAGGAGCTGGGGGTGGTGATGGCTGACAGGGAGCTGGTCCATGAGGTCATGAAGAGTCGGAAGTGACTGAATGAACAATGAAACTCTTCTGTTGAATATGCATGCCCAGTGTGAAACATATCTCACCACATTAAAACAGTGGATGTGGCTCTTAATGAAACATGCGGCATTATCACAGGATGTCTACGTCCCACACCACTGGAGAAATTATACTGTTTAGCCGCATTGCACCACCTGATATCCGCCAGGAAGTAGCAGCCTGTAATGAAAGGACCAAGACAGTGACATCTCTGGCCCATGGAAATGGAAATGTTGAGATGAACGTGTGGCTTGACACTTCGTGACCATGTGCCAAATGATGACATTCGTCAAAGACTAGGAATAAAAGCAATCGGCAAGAAAATGCAGGAAGCAAGAATATGGTGGTATTGCCATGTGGTGAGAAGAGAACCAACATCAGTAGCAAAAACAGCACTGCATTTGGTGGTTGCAGGACGGCAACCACGCAGGCATCCACATAAAAAATGGATGGACACTATCAACGAAGACATGCATACTGCTAACCTAAGACCCAAATATACCCAAAACAAAGTGGGGAAAATAGCTTAGGAAGAAGATCTGATAGCAACAACTGCAGTCTTTGCAGCAGACTCTGCAGAAGATGCTTCATTTATACTTCATACAAAGGGAAAGTCAGTCTGCTTGGCAAGCCTTGCAAATGCTGGTAAATGTTTGTTCTTTTATACCTATTTCTTATACCTGTACACCCATCTGGGAAGAAAAGGTAGGCAAAGAAAGAGGAAAGGAGATCTGAAAACAAAATAAAAAGATATTTGCACCAAGAAAGGAGGGAGGATAACCCAGACGGTGGGAATGAGGCAGAGGACCCAATCCTTTCCCTTTGAGGAATACAATTGGATTGGGGGAGGGATCAACATATACGCGTGGAGGGACATAGAACCAATTGCACTATGTAACAAAATTGGGGGGAAATCTGTTCTTGGTTGAAAGTATTATTTCCTATTTAATTGTGTGATACTTACTCTGAAAGTTGTTATATTCCCGAAATGTCTTTTTTTGTGGAATTGGTTGAGACTCTACATAATATTCATCGAAAAACTAGAGCAAAATATGTTGCAGGATGTCCCGCAAAAACAAAGTTTTGGCAGTGTAATAAACTTTGTCCATGTTTTTATGATAGAACCAATTAGGAAATGGGATTTATAACACAGGAACAAAAATTGTGTTACATAGTGTTATAGTTATTTTGAACTACACCACAGTTCACATATGTTTAGAGGAGAGCTCTAGTGCAAGCATGTTGTTCCATTGCTATCAGTCACCATCTGTCTCCATTCCACCTAGAGCCCAGAAACTATGTGCCTCTTGCTGCTCTTCTTGAAGTCCATACCAGCCAGACTCCTTCCTTTTGGAGCTGTTGAGAAGTGCTCTGCACAGTTTCTTCTGTCTGTGTATTATTTTTGGTTCCAAAATCCCTAGAAGGCACATTTATTTCACTGACCTACAGGAAAACCCATCCTGGCTGAGGAAATACAGTGTGAACACTGCAACTGTTAAACAGTGTAAACCAGGCAACCTCAACATGTGGCCTTCCAGCTGTTTGGGCCTTCAGTTCCCATAATTCCTAACCACTGAACAGGCTGGCTAGGGCTTCTGGGAGTTGGAGGCCCATACACATGGCGGTGGTGAAGTGTCTACACCAGGCATCCTCCAACTGCAGCCCTCCAGCTGTTTGGGCCTCCAATTCCCATAATCCCTAACCACTGAACAGGCTGGCTAGGGCTTCTGGGAGTTGGAGGCCCAAACAGCTGGAGGGCTGCAATTGGAGGATGCCTGGTGTAGACACTTCAACACCGCCATGTCTATCTTGCTAGGTAAGCATAGGATGAATAGGAATGTGTCCAGCTCTTTGCCAATTGCTTCCAGCATGTCCAAACTATAGAAAAAGACTTGGACATGCCCCCACTCATTCCCTTTCTCTTTGGAAATATGGAAAGGGCTGCCTGGGCTCGGGCGACTTTTGGTCAAAATGTGGTTGGAAGAGACTTCTGACTTGTGCAATGATAATAAATGTGACTGAAACACAGTGGCACAAGTCAGACTTTCCAATGAGTTGTCCATTGAACTGTCACTATCAAGAATTCAGGTTCTGCAGGGTAACTATCACTCCTGGTTCCAACCTGAATGCATTTTGCCTAAAGGATAAGAGGTAAAGGGGAGCTTTATTGGTTTCCTTAAGTCCCCACAGGAAGAAAGGCAGGGTATAAATAAAGTGAATAATAATTAGCTGTGCTGTATTTTGGAAAACAGCACATAGTTAATCCACTGTTGTGCTTGAGAGCAACAACACAACCACATGTAGAAGGCTGTGCTGAGAGACAGCAATTGGCTTAAGGCCACTCCATGAACATGAGGTCCAAGCAAGGTCCATGACCCACTGCACAACACACTTGCTCTCGTTTAATTTAGTGTGACTCATTTTCAAGTAAACACAGAATTGTTTAGGGGCATTTCAATTTGAATTACAATTTAGACATTCGTGAGGCATCCCAAGAATAATAATTAGAATAACTCATTCATTCTCATGAGCAAGTCTCTAGAATTCTAATGAGCAATTCATTAGAGCAAGTGCATGAGCAAGTCATTCCGGCAGCAGTTTTTAAAAGAGGAAATTGAAGCCAAATTGGAAAGCAAGTATAGCTTTCTTCTATATCAGTAATTTATTTGTTCAAATGATCAGATATAAAGTATCACTGAGGTAGACTTGAGTCTATCTTAATCTAGATGAAATTATAAATTACTTACACTAGGCTCAAAACTGCAAAGGGAATGTATTTGGACATCTACCCTCCCTCTCACCAGCCCTGGGCACCCATTTCTAACACAGATAGAGTGGAACTCAGTAAGCCATTTCACCAGTGTTGAAGAAACATTATATTTATATACTTTCTTTTAAAATAAAAATAATCCACAGGAAACATTTCCATTCCCCTTATCCTACTTCTCTTCTCAAAACTATGAATCGTTTGTACCCCTTGGAGCTGCTACTCACCAGCACAGGGCACATGGTGGTGGTCTGGATGGATGGGCCCCGATCCATGTGCCAGGCTAGGCATGCTGGTGTTGTTATGAAGGACAATCATGAGTGCTGGTGCAACACATGTTGTTACAGACATTTTGCTAGTGGGCACTGTTATGTGCTATGTGCACCATCTGCTTGTTGTATGCATAACTGTGGTCACTGGCTTATTTCAGAAGTGTTGATTTCCAGTGTCAGAGTGGTTAGCTACTTCTGAATAGGGTGGCCACGGCCACATGTTACTCAAACATATTCAGAAGCTAGATGATTGGCACATTCTTTGCCAATGAACCAAGTGCTGTGAGATTGGTAGGGCTCTACCAGTTTTGGCCATGTTGAGAAGGGGAAGTGTAGTCCCTCATGAAAATGAGGGACTGTTCTATGCCTCAGTGCAGGGATTGAGAGTATATTGGCTCTTTCTTAGGGGAAATGCTTCTCTTATTGTTATTACTGACATCCCCAGAGGCCCACAAGCATATATTTGCTGCCTCAAACCAAGAAACGTGCCTGCTTAGAGGTGCAAAGATGGTTTCTTTCCATTGGCTTTGCAGTATGCCAAGCATTCATGCTACAACTGGGGACAGAAGACTGGAGGTGTCCACAGCTTTAACTATGTAAAATCAAGTGCAGCTACTGCTTCGGGAAGCTGTCATGCCTGCTCTGCCCTGTTCCACAAACCTCAAGGGGCTGAGGAGTAAGGTTTTTAAGCCTGTGTGGTGCTTTTGATGCTGTCTGCTGCACATGCCAAGGAACATTCTCAAACATTCACGTGCGGCATTTGTCTCCCCCATAACATTTTTTCTTCATAACAACTATGTAGCAAAGGACTAGAAGGAATATGCATAGCATGTCCAGGAGCAGCCCGGACCCCCTCCCCCAAGGGCTTGTCTTGGTTGTATATGTTGGCTCTTTTCACTTCTGTGAAAGAAGCAACAGACAAAATTGCACTATTTACATTCTGAGGCTGGACATCAGAAGAAGGCTGCTGTTAAGTCTCACACAGGGCCCACCATCTCCTCCATGCAGCCTCGGTTGTCCTAAGGTGTCTGCAGCATGGAATGTTTTTGGCGGAATGCTTCGAAGAAAGAGAGCACCCCCCTCTTGCGCGCGGGGCCCCCACTGCCATTCTTCTGCAGGGAGTGCCCTGAGACAGGAAATGGGCACATGGTGGAGTCTACTGACACTGTCCGTTTCATTTTCAGGATGGAGCGTGAGCCAATTTTTGGTTTGATCCGTGATGTTGAAGCCACTAAGCACCTCTGATACTGAACCTATGAAAGAAACAATAAACAAGCTCTGTTAAAATTGCAGTTTATAGACAGTCACGTTTAAAGAAACCTGTCAGTTGTTGAGTTTATTAGTTATCAGAAGAATGGATGCCTCAACTAGCTCCACAACAACAACAACTTATTCTTATATCCCACCACCATCTCCCTAAAGGGACTCAGGGCGGTTTACAGATGGCACAAAGTGCCTTAAAACAAACATAAAAGTGAACACAATATAAAATACAATAAATTAAAACACATGCACATATAAAAACATCAACTCAGACTCAATCAAGCTGCGATCCTTAAACTGTGGCAATAAATTACTGTCACCATGGCCGGGCTGCGAACATTGGAATTAAATAAGTGCCAGCTGTAGTAATGGAGAGAGGGCATGGGATAAAGTGCAGAATGTGTGACTACTACGTAGGACAACTAGGGGCTAAATATTCTCAGAGGTTTGATTGAAGAGCCATGTCTTCAGGTCCCTAGGAAAGGAGGACAGTGTGGGGCCCCGTTTAATCTCTCTGGGGAGGGAGTTCCAAAGCTGGGAGGCCATCACAGAAAAAGCCCTCTCCCTTGTCCCCACAAACCGCATTTATGGGCGGTGGCGGGAATTTCCATCCATGAACCCAGAGCTTCCCAGATAACAGACAGGAAGTTTGAGATTGACAGTCTATATCAAGTCAAGGACAATCAAACCAGGAATTGATTTGTTGAAAACCACAGAGTGTCATTGTCTCTTGATCTTTCCTGATGTAAACCTTTTCTGCCTGTAATCATGTGAAGACTGGGAAAATTTGTTTAACCACATACACAAAACAGTCCTGATACCAATTGCAGTACATGTAATCTGTTTATCAGACACTTTGAAATTACTGGGGACTTTGGCTGTTCAATGGGAAATGGAACTGGTACTACTCTGGAATTCAAAAGCATGTGTCTTGGAGGTCTCACACATTAATGATTTTGTATCTGAAGAAGAACAGATCTAGAAAAAGGTAGAAGATAAAGCAGTTTGTGAAATCCTGCAGGAGACTCTGTCGTGGCCTTTTGGTACTTACCATGCATGCAGCTTGAACTGCTTCTGATATTATGCCAGCGTCTGGCTCACACCAAAATGCTGTGCACTGGAAACACTGCTGCCCCATATCAGTGATGAGGGCAAATGTGTGGGCATCTTTCCCAATTCCAATAAAAGTAACATAGCGGACTTGGCATTGCCAAATGCAAGTATCCTCTTCTTCCTCCTCCTCCTCCTCTCCCTCCTTCTCCTTTGCCGACTCCTCAAATAAAACAATAAACTAATCAGATTAGATTAAGGATATACTCAGACCAGCACTCCTCTTACACTTCACTTCAGTCCTAAGTGTTAATCATTATATGTTGCCACCAAAACTATATTTTTATTTCCCATAATTTTAAAGAGAAATGTTTGTTCTCCAAACCCATCTCAAGCTATTGAGCCTTTCCACATTCCAATAAATCTGATATAGTGGCCAAAGGAGTTGGAGACATCCTGAGGCAGGATCGAAAAATGTCTCCTAGACTTGTGAAGTAGCTACTTGTCACTTCTGCTAAAATCAGAATAAACAGAGCAAGGGAGAGCAACAGCAGCAGTATTCAAGTTGGTTCATATAAGGAAAGGCAGGGTTAGGAGCGAAGAGATGATTTGGGAAGAAAGACAAGGGGGGTTAGAGTGTTTATGGCTTTTCTAAAACCCAAAGGGAAAGCCTTCTCTTTCTCTGACTCTCCAGATGTCTTGCTAATTATTGGCAGTGAAAGGAAGAGTCATTTATCAACATCTGGAGGCCTTGAGGTTCCCACCCTTTGGTTAAGTAATCTTTGATGCATTCCAAGGCCAGTTTATGCATAATGTGTGTATAAGTGTTGTTTTGCCCTCTTGGTCTTCATGTATCTCCATTCCCTTTATAGTGATGCATGGAAAGGTGTATATTTCATGAAGGTAATCCTAAAGTCTCCCTCTGCCTTTGTATAGAAGGTTTGAAAAAAAGGGACCTCCCAGTCCACAACACAAGTGCACACAATGTCAGAAAGGGAGACAGCCAACCATTTGCAGCTTCTGCTCCTCTTCCTATGCTCTCTTAAGCATTCTAAATCCATTAATTTTAAAGCACTCTGGAATTAAAGAATCCATTGATTTTATGGGAGAACTGAGCAACTGTTAATCTCTCCCACTGAAATAGTTGGGAATTAGAAGCTTTTACTTTGAGTTGCATCATGCAAATCCATGGCACAGAACGAATACTAAGGTTGCATTCTCATTTTAGCTACATTGATTCAGTAACCAACTGGACAGTACACAATTTATCAAATTCAAAGGAGATGTTGTGAATCAACAGTATTTAGAGCAGCTGATAATGGTGAAATACTTTTAGACTATGGCAAGGAATGTTTGGACATGCATATAAGCCCAGAGGACTGTGGAATAAGATCAGACCCATGAATATCTCTAGCTGAGAGATGAACTAGAAAAAAGATGCTTTTCTCCAACATCACTGGATTCACAGCCTGCACAGATCTAAAATCTCTGACTACAGAATGTCAATGCAACATAAATAGTCTTACCTCAGCTTGGTCTGCTTGCATCACTGAGTCTGAAATGCTGATGACTGATGGAGTCCACTGCTCACGTTCATGGCTGCTTATTAGGTCTTCAATCGCATTGTTTAGTACATCCATCCCTGAAGTTGTGAGACAAGAAAGAAACAACACGGCAAGTCACTACCAAGCTAGAGAAGTGGTTCTCAAGAACAAGATTTTGGACTGAAGAAGGAACCAAGTTTGACAAAGACCAAATCCAGGAACAAGGAGGAATGAGATGTCATGCAAAAATTGGTAAAAATGTGGCAAGAGGTAGCATTAGGTATTTTAAAGCAAACACCAGCCATGTTCAGAGCAATATCTATCCCATCCATGTCAAAAGATAATATTGAGATGCTTCAAACATGCTAGCATCTCTAGAATTTCTAATTCCTTGCATTAAATTGTGTTTTTAAAAATTCTCTTTATAGTACAAACCCAATGGATCACCTGCTGAAATTCATAAGAAGTAAGCATTAAAGGGTCAACCCCCCTCCCCCTTCCATTATACAGGATTCGGGGACATGGGCTCTCTCTTTATAATTAAAAAATGCAATAAGCCCCTGGGTTGCAAATTTGCATGAGGAAGCACTGGGTAAAGAAGCTTTATGGATTTTTTTTTAATTCGAAGATACTTTCTATACTTCCAGCTGATTTCCCAACTAGTGATTGAGGGAAAATATAGGCCCCTTCCACATAACTGAATAAAATCCCACATTTTCTGCTTTGAACTGGAATATATGGCAGTGTGGACTCAAATAACCCAGTTCAAAGCAGATATTGTGGGATTTTCCACCTTGATATTCTGGGTAAAATGGCTGTGTGGAAGGGCCCTGAGTTTTCCCTTACTCTTGGCTTGCTTTCAGTTCAACATTACAGTCACTATGAGAAATAAGGCTCATCGTTCTTTGGCAAACTAACAAGGGTGATTCATTAGAAAAAGTAGGCCCAGAGAAAACAAGGCTGTCCTGCAAGGATCCCAAAAGAAGCCATTCCCTTTGCTCAGAGAATATGCACAGAATCTCAGAAGCATCCAAACCAGCCAACTAACGTCCTCTACTAAGCACAGAGCAGCCCATCATACACAAACATAGGTTGCAGAATACAATGAGAGCTACCTACCCATGGGTTTGGTCACTGGTAAGCTGCCAATATACAAAGCTTCATATTTCTGGACAGACTCTCTCGCGGCATCCAGAATGTCAACTGCCAGGAGCAAAGGACAGTGAGCACAGCCTCTCCATGCTACTGTACAGCCAATAAATCCCAGGGCATTAAGGAAGAGAAGGTTCTGAAATTTGGCAGCTGGAAGGAGCCAGTCACTTTCCAGCCTGATCCAAAGCAAGTCTTACCAAGTTAAGGCTAAAGATCCCCACATCACCACATTTTTCATTAGAAAAAAGACCTGTGAGCTGAGATACATATGTTCTGTAGGAGCTACCAAACACTGCACTAAATTGATCAGGAGTGCAAGCAAGACTATGCCAGTTCTTTTTCCCATGTTTGAAAATGAGCACAGTGTGGTAGAGAAACTGTCTTTCCCAGATGGCCAAAAACATGGAAGTTTCTGCTTGGCAGTGAGTGCTGCTGTGTTTTTCTGGTGGAGCAAGTGGCTGATGGCAGTGCTCTGTCTTGTAGCATGCCTTTGTCAGGGTTCCCATCCACCTTCCAAATGACTGTGAAAATGAGTTTTCATGATTGTCATTGATATCAATTTTGAATGGAGAGAGTGACATCCCACAATATTTATCAAAATCCAGAGTGTGGATCATACAAACAGAAGGAAAGAATTAAACGGGATGCTCTTTCCCTGTTTGAATGAGAGGGTCAGCCATGAATGTAGCCTTGCAAGGACCTCACAGGAAGTCCTCACCCAAAGGAATTGCTCTGCATATTTTCTATTCAAAGCAGCAGGAGGCAGTAAATCTGCCATAAGTTATAATAAATGTAGCTATTTGTTTTTTTACTTAATACACAATTTATTTATGACAATACAGGGGAGATTCTTAATATCAGAACTCAGGATCAATTTCCCGAGGAAAGGATAAGAAAAAATTAATGGCAAGAGGTTGGACTAGATGGCCCATGTGGTCTCTTCCAACTCTGTTATTCTATGATTCTATGCTTGCACTGGAATGGGATTTGGGAAATATAAAATGACTACCTTGCGGAGATAAGGCATCTGGAGTGAGAGGTTCAAGGGTAACAGATCTACTGAGGTTGTTACTTGCTACTGCTCGCTCAGCCATGATCTGCAAGATAGAAAAAAAGCATGACAGTTTGGGACTAAATATCTGAAGTCAACTTGGTGATAAATTTCAAGAAGGAACCTCTTTCAATACATTAGCCCAGGAGAGGACCAATTAATGATAAAGAGTGTATAGATAATATCCTAAAAAATAAGCCCCTTTGCTTTAATAAATGTAGCCTGGTCCTAGATCAGTTTACACAGAAGTAAATGCGACCAGTTTCTGCCAACCTAGCAGTTCGAAAACATGCAAATGTGAGTAGATCAATAGGTACCGCTATGGTGGGAAGGTAACGCCGCTCCATGCAGTCATGCCGGCCACATGACCTCAGAGGTGTCTACGGACTATGCCGGCTCTTTGGCTTAGAAATGGAGATGAGCACCAACTTCCAGAGTTGGACACAACTGGACTTAATGTCAGGGGACAACCTTTACCTTTTAAATGCTACCTGATTGATGTACTAATCAAATAAGCATACATAGGACTACAACGTTCTTTGTAGATTTGGCCCAATACAGCAATGACTACAAATCTAGTTTGGATAAGATCTATGTAGTAAAAGGCCTGATGAGTTTCATGGTATACAGGACCAATATCCAGCTACCAGAAACCCTGGACAAAACTGCCTGGCTCTCTTCTTACAAAATGGCACCAAGGATTTCTGGGTCTACACCACAGGGCCTAGACACCCTTCTTCCCTCTGGTGTGCATGCACATAAAGGGACTGTACCACAAGTCAGGAGGGGTACCTTGGAGCACATTTCATGCAGGGCTTTGGCAATGGCCTTGGCAGGCACATTGCAGTGGAAGACATGGCACTTCAGCACACACGTGTCCTTGTCACTGGCAACGAAAGCAAAATCCCTGCAAGGAGAGGAGAGCCCAGTGAGTGAGGGCAAGGCTCCAAGTGCTTGTTCTTGCTGCAGAAAGGGGGGGGAGAGACTTACCTGTCCCTTGGTCAAGTAAAGCATGTGGGGAAAGAAGAAAGGTGGGTTAATGCAGAGTCCCCAAACAAGCAACCCCACCAAGAGTCTGGGGTGAGTCATAATGTCTAATAAGAGGAGCTGGAGTCCTTGTAGGGAGGATGTAGAGGAGCCCAAAGGGAACAGAAAAGTCGCACTGCAGATGTCCCTTTCTCCTCTCCTCTTCTGCCCTGGAGAACGGCCACTACTCACCTGCCATTGTTGCAGCCCACACCCCAGACACGGATGTTGATGATGGGCTGGCAGTGGATGAGGCTGTGGTCTAAAGGGTCCACCAGGCTCATGGTGTCTTTCTTCAGGATCATGACCATGTTTTGGCCCTGTAAGGAGAGACTCAAGGACTGTGACTGAGTCTTGGATTAGGAATGATTAAAAAAAACCTGCACACGTCTCCCCCCCCCCCCCAACAAGAACTACAGTATAATGGGAACTGAAATAAGGACACCCACAGTGATACCACAGGATGCAGTACTGCCCTGGTTTTTCCCCATTCTGTGCTAAAGTCATTGCCCGACATACACCTGAAATTTATAATTACATTGCACTGACAGGATACATCCCAAATCTACAAGCATTGACTCCAGGACAGGAAAAAATGGATCACTCATGTTTCCTTGATCACTAATAATGCCAAATGTATAATTTTGCTACACTTAAAAAAGTACATAGCTTAATAATCCATTAACAGAAGACACATGTTTGTTCATCAAACATGAACTGGTTACATATTTTTGATATTAAACAAAATGAGACGCTTTCCAAAACATAGGGCAGGTCATTTAACTGAATACAAAGTTAGCTTGTTTTCGACATACCATAAATAGAAAATGAACAAAAAGGATAACAGCACCTTTGGCTTGGACTTGCCTCATGATGCCACTAATTTCTTAATAGTCTCATGGTATGAGATAATTGGAAGTTGTTCATTTGGCAAAACAGATTATCTGTGTTTGTAAAAGAGACACTTTCCAGTAACATGGAAGGAATGGCATCATATGATAAGTCGAAGGCAAAAGACACTGTTCTCTTACTGTAATTGTGATCTGCCTGCCTCCGTGTGATAAACTCCTATATCTTCTTCCCTGGGACTCAGATACCTTTGACACTCACCTCACCCCATCGATCAGCAGGATCCCAATTGTCACATTTGGTTTGAGAGAGTTGCTGGATGCAGTTATTCACTGCAATGCTACTTTTGCCAGGAGCCAAGTCTTCCTCAGGGATCTCCACCCAGCCTAATGAACGCACAACAAAGCACTGGCAACAGAGACAGACAGAGTCACTTAAAAGCATATGTCAGGCTTCCTTAGTCCTTATTTTGCTACCCAGCCCCACCATTCACTTGCTTTTAGTGAATATGGAGAAAAGAAACAACCTTTCTCTATCTGATTGTCAACCATGTCTAAGGTTGGATGACACTTCACCAACACTCTGGATATTTCTATTTGGAATTCTACCATGTACCTGCCACTACAAAAACAATAAAATTATTATTCTTGCTTATCATTAAGACATCTATATTATATGACTATGATACATAAGCCCACATATGTCTTTCAAGGAAGGAGAGGGAGAAGGTCTATCCATCTTCCTTCCACTTCATAAAATTGTAGCTTGCATTGCATCTTCAGTGACCAAATAGCTCTACTTGCCATATTGGTTAGCCAACCTTCAGTCATGAATCTTTAAATACCCACATATAAAGGTAAAGGTAAAGGTTTTCCCCTGACATTAAGTCCAGTCATGTCCAACTCTGGGGTTGGTGCTCATCTCCATTTCTAAGCCGAAGAGCCTGCGTTATCCGTAGACTCCTCCAAGATCATGTGGCTGGCATGACTGCATGGAGCGGCGTACCTTCCTGCCAGAGCAGTACCTATTGATCTACTTACATTACAGGTTTTTGAACTGCTAGGTTGGCAGAAGCTGGGGCTGACAGCGGGAGCTCATGCCACTCCCCGGATTTGAACCTGCAACCTTTTGGTCAACAAGTTCAGCAGCTCAGTGCTTTAACCCAATGCACTACCATGGGCTCCACATAGTAAATCTTTATACYACTGGGAAGAGGAAGCTAAACATGCCAGTTTGGGGTAATATTATGTGAGACAGGATCGTCGAGGAGAATATTCTTTGCAGGTGAACAGCTGCCAAGGGTAAACCTAGTACCTAGTAAAAAGATATAGATGGGAAAGCTATGTACACTTACATAAGAATAAGTTCTGCTTTAATCAATAGGCTTTTCTTCTAGATAGCAACACATCATATAGTAATATAAGTGGTATAAGGATTGCGCCATAAAGTACAGAATGTCATTGCAGCAAATGGGGGGGGGGGTCCCAGAAAATACTACAAGAGGTTGTCTTCCTATTCCTACAAATAAGAAAAAATATCCATAGTTTCCAAATAGACTGCAATTCACACAGCGATCTTGCCTCCCTGAAATGGCCGTACCTATGCTGAACTCATTTCACCCCTACATGTCTCAAGGAAGACTTTCCCAATTTCTGAACTAAGGGCCCTCCATTTTTCCCGCATCACTTGACTGTACCTTAGAACCAGGATCTCTGCTGACTTGATGGTGGTCTTCCCCATGCCAAACCAATGATGTCCTGTAACAGAAAAAGAAACTCAGCAGGAATGTGGAGGTTCTCTTTATTCCCCACATCAAACCTCAGGAAAGTAAAATTGCATCAGTGATATTATTATTATGCCTATATTAAACCAAAAAAGCTGTATTTTTCCTATTTTGAAATGCGAAATGATATATGGTATAAATATTCAGTGTAATAATAATATGGGTTTAACTTGCATATGTTTTCAAAAAGCTTTCTATCACAGGGTCCCTGTTGTGAAGACAGCAGGGAACAGGAGGGAGGCTGGAGCAGATGGACAATAATTCTCAAAATATCTTTACAACTAAAAAGACGCAAGCCAAAAATGTGTGGGGTAGGAACAAACCTGCTTTCACCTATATTTGCACATTCTTATTTGAGAAATTATTAAAGGAGAAGGTTACAGAACTTCAAACCTTATTTCACTTTTATCCTGATTTATTTATTTATTGTCATGTCAGGAGCGACCTGAGAAACTGCAAGTCGCTTCTGGTGTGAGAGAATTGGCTATCTGCAAGGACGTTGCCCAGGGGACGCCTGGATTATTTTTGATGTTTTTATCATCCTTGTGGGAGGCTTCTCTCATGTCCCCACATGAGGAGCTGGAGCTGACAGAGGGAGCTCACCCGCCTCTCCCCGGATTCAAACCTGCAACCTGTCAGTCTTCAGTCCTGCCGGCACAGGGGTTTAACCCACTGCACCACCTGATTAGACATGCTCAGAGGACCTTGTGCAGTGGCCCCGGCAGGCAACCATACCTCCTTCTGGGTAGCGATGCCATGGGACTTGGGATGGGTCTTTCCCTGGGCATACGTCTCACTGTCGCAGTCTGAGGGTCCTGAATAAGGACAGAGAAGGACGTCTGAGAGTTGCTTCAAACAGGAAACTAACACAGCAGGGATAATAAAGCACTCAGCATGAATTCAAGTGTGCCATATGGGAGAAATCAGAGGAACCCTTGGATCCCTGAGGCCCACACGCAGGAGCTGATCCCCCTTCCTCTAACCAGTCCACACAAAAACTAGCCCCAGTTTAAGATTACACCATTAGTTTCAGGCCATTGAGGTTAAAAAAGGTTTTGTTGGAGTTCAGCCTGTGATTGTGTTTCAAGATCAAGGTGCTTTAGATGTGGGGAATGATGTCAATGAGGGTCAATATGGCGATGGTCTGGTCAATTATATTAATGCAGAGAATGACATTTGACTTTAAGTACTCTGTTTTCATGCAATGTCTTTCGCATATCAGGCATTATAAAAAGCCAACAGTGGGGAGCCCACATCATATACAAAAGGCTTTAGAGTCTAGATACCATTTCTGGTGAGGCAGCCTCCACACTGTGTCCCTGGTCAGAGGTGCGGGATGGGTGTTGCCACTGGGTGGTGCCTGTGGGCACGTGCCAGTAGTAGGTCCCTGAGGAGTCATGGATTTTCCTCCATCCCGGAGGAAGGTCAAGATCTGCTTCCAGATTCTGGTCATTCCATAGATTATCTAGGAGAGAGAAAAGAATAACCATTCACAGAAGAGAATGAAGAGGTCTTAATTCCTTTAAAGTCTCTTCTAGAATCTAACCCAAATAGCCCATTCCTTAATTCCCTCTTATCCATATCCAAGGCAGAGTTCATCTCAGGGAAGCAGTAGTTACATAGAAGCTTTAGGAAAGTTGGCATCTATTATATCAATTATTGCACATTTCCAAGCAACATAATGCTGACAGAAGAACAATTCATTTGAAATACCTTAACTGAGCGCAATCTACTCATGTCTTCTCTGAATCCAACCACAGGTCTTCCAGATAGGAAAGTGTGACGGCGCGAGTGGCGCCATCTGTGTGTAGAACTTTAAAGTGCAAAGGTTTAAACTGTATAACATGCCCAAACTTGCCTCGTTTGTAAATGTATAGTTGGATTGATTGGTTATTTATAGCTGTCAATCAATGTTGTTTGAACCAGTCATATTGCTTCCTCAGCTCAATTGCTTGGTTCCACCTCTTCCTGGAGGAGGGCAGAGCTTTTCCTTTTCCATTCTACCATCAAACTTTCTATCAGATAGACGTGAGAAAGAGACTTGACTTTAAAGCCCTTAATTAAGTTACCTCTCATCACCAATTCTAAGGTTTTTATCCTTGGGACTCATACTTCATGACCAGATCGCCCTGGACAATGTTGAGGAGACTCAAGTGCCTTCAAACTGGTCCTGTGGCACCAGAGGAAGGCTTTGTGTCTTCAAATATAAGCCATATGGATTGGGGCTGTGAATGTTCAGGCATTTGCAGCCATTGAGAAAGAGGGAACCTTGAAAAGCTTCTCAGCTGCGAAATCTCTTGGACCCAAGACAACCAGAGACTGTAATGTATATATTTCTTTACTCCTTTGAAACTTCCAGCTTATTGCCTTAAAGGGATAACTCTTTGTGGACAATAAAACCTATTTTGAGTTATCTACAGTGTTTTGGTCCTTGGGAGTTCCAGTTCTTTAAAGGAAGGCAAGAAGCAATCCCCTGGGGGAAAGATGTCATGTCTATGTCTCTTTCACTAAGAGTTATAGCCCCCAGGTGCGATGGCATAGAAAGAATAACGTTTTCAAAAGAATTTCTTCTGTATTTATTTATTTATTTATAATATTTATATGCCACCCTTCTCACCCTGATGGGCACTCGAGCGGCTTACAAGATATATATACATACAATGTATTATATTATTAATATAGCACAATATCAGTATTATATATTACTATATTGTACTATACCATTAGATTATAAATTTATTAGTAATATTACATGTAATATAAAATATATAATATTTTCCAAGGCTTTGATAGTACCAATTAAACCCTCACATTTCAGCAGTACAAAGAATCTGAGCAATGTCTTTACCAATGAGTTTTACAAGTGGGTTGAATTCACTGTCCTCTGTTTTTAAAAAACAGCCCCACATATATGTTCTTAATCCCCTTCTTTTCTTCCAGCTTCTTCACTTCGCTGTGCCATTTTTATGAGAGAAACAAGCTTCACAAAATACCAAAATATCTAAATAAATGGGTTTGTTCTATGATATGTAGATCTGAAATCCACCTGTGTTTAAGTCTATCAAAAACAGGGTCTTAATCATAAAAGTATTTTGTGGATAGATTTCCACATTTAATAAAGGCATCCAAAGGGAGAATGCTTCTAGAACATGGCCATACAGCCTGAAAAACCTACAACAACCCAGTGATTCCGGCCATGAAAGTCTTTGACAATACATTGAACCCAAAATCATCTGTATACATCAAGATGAAAATCTTTCTGCTCCTGATTACTCGAGAAGGATAATCTGCTTGAGCCTCTTGTGGCACCAAGACATTTAAAGGGATGGGAACCACCAGGCATCTTTATTTCATTGCTCAGATTGTTTGAAAAGCTTCGGACAGAAAACTAAACCAATTCTAACCCTCATTTTCTATGTTGTTGTGTCAGTATATGGTACATATGGTATATCCTAGGGCATAAGACATCCAATTACTAGACCCAGCTAGAATAAATACAATGAATCAATTCTGACACAAGTACACCTCACAGGTCCAGTAGAACTACTTTGGGTGAAAACGACAACTTGATTTAGGCCATAGTGCTGGCAGATTTTTAAAATTCTCCCATTAAATACCTTAAATGTTTTTATTTTAAGACATACACATACACAAACACAACAATTACAATTCCCACCACCACCACGAGGATTATTTTCTTTTACATATTAATCTCTTCTGAGACAATCCTTCTAGATTTACATACAGTATAACATTCTGTATGTAAATGTAATGTAATTTTTTTTGCTTTTTAAGTCTCTTCTGCTGTGTTTTTCAGTGTTTTTCTGAGTGATGGTCACTTGTTATTTCTATTTGACTGAGGGGGGAAAATGGATATGGTTGAAATTTGGGGACGTTGCTTGTAACTATTCAGGTTACGATGCATAAAAAAGAAAAAAAGAAATTCCTCTCCTAAAATTCTAGTACATTATAGTTCAGTGGATTCATGAACAAAATGTGACTTTAGGAGGACCAAATTGTCCCATTGGCCAGATAAAGGTTAAGTAGTTCCCATTCAGCAAATATCTCCTCCAACTTTAATTAGAAATGTCTTACTTCCACTTGCTAACTTTAATTACTTTTTTACTCAGTACAATACTGTATTTATGATTTGATTGGTTAGTCACTGCTGAGATATTTCAAATCCTAGTTTCTCTTCAACTTTTCTTTTAATTTTATCATGAAACTGGAAAATGGGAAGAAATCATTATTAAGAACCCTGCCAAATACAGGGAATTATAGTGAGATACGCTAATGAGATGTCCCTACTGGACAGGAAGCTTTTAATTAAAGCAGAGTTGGCAAGTGTGGGAGTGTAGAGACAATTTTTGCTTTATTGTGGGCCACACTTCCACATTTTTGCTTGAAAAAGTAACCTGGAAGCTATTGGAAGTTGGTTGCAACTCCAATTTCTATTGTTTCAGGCTTTAATAGCTAATTTCTGCAAAGATGATGAGTTGGAGAAGACCTCTGTGCATTTTAAGACACGAACATGAGGTGTTGTAGATCAACCAGAGGCTGAAGGTTTAACTGATGATTTAGAGAGGATTGTGAGCTTTAATGTGGCACAAAGTGATGGACTCTCAAGTCTGGGAAATGATAGTTCTCTCTGTGAGAAAACTGGCTTAGAAAGTGCAGGGCCTCAAGAGCATTCAGTGGAGTCAGAAGTAGCAGCAGCAGATAAAGAATCAAGTGAAGAACTGAGTGATAAGGAGAGTTCCCATGAAAACCCACCTGAGATCAACAAAAGTTTTCATTTACAAATCAGAGCAGAAAATAGATTGCGTTGTTGAGAGAGATCACGTGGGAAAGTTGTGAAGGGAATTCATGGGAAACAGAATGCTTTCATAAGTGTCTATTAGACAACAATTGCTGCCAACTTGTAAGCTCCCTTCAGTTGCCTTTGGGCTGAGAAAGGTGGGACAGAAATATCGTAAAGAAATAAATAACTAAATAACCAAGTTGTTTACTTTAAGGTCAGTTCAGGCAATGCTGCATTAGAGTGAGAAGCTAAGCCTGAGTTCTCTTGTTTCTGGTTCAAGTCAAGATTTGATTTTGAAAGTTTTTATGCTCCTGTTCATGTAGTCCCATTCAAGTTTTACTAGTTATAACTTCTGGATTGTGGACTTATGCTGTCTCTGTGATTTCTGGCTGTTTCTGGACTTTGTCACCTCTGGAACTTTATGTGACATTTGGATTATTGTCTGGTTATCACCTGTTGCTAAGTCTTTTTGGATTATATATCTTCCTTTCTTATTCCTGATTTTATATGCTTTTTATATGTTTTTGCAATGAACTGCTTATATTCCTGGACTCTTGTGTGGTACACTGGTCAGATGTGTTTGTAGGCCTGGAGTACAACACAAGGCTTGTTGGCTTTGGAAGGGTTCGGACAGGTTGAATGTTGCAAAAAAAAGGAGGGGCTGGTGACTCTATGGAGCAACAGATCTGGAAAGTTTCAATAGCAATCTGCCAATCTGTGCTGCACCTGTCAGTTCTGCAATTACATTTTATGTGAAAAATGTGCCACAGACATCCCACCAAGGTAGCCTGAAAAAAGACATGAGCACAAATCAGAAAATACTGTAGTGAACAGAAGGATACACTGTATTTTCCACAAAAGTGCCGGTTGGCTCAGTGCTACAGAATCGTGGGAGTGAGGCACCAGTATACTTTAGCAGAGAAGTCTAAAGACCTTGTAAAACTACAACTTGCATGATTCCATAGAATAGATTCTCCATGAAAAGTGAGTGAATAAAGTATGGTATGCCCCATTTCAACATCCAGATTGAAGCAACCAGGAAAAGTGAGATGCATGACTAGTGTACATTACAAGCTTCCATCTATTCATATAATGACAATATCTTTCAGCCTCTTGATCAATCTTGACCTCTCTGTATCCTCTAAACAAATTTTAGATAGGGTGGCCATGTGCTCCATTCTCTATCTCCAAGAGGAAAACTATTTAAAGCCTTAGATAAGTAAAGGAGTCAGCAGAAGGATATTACACAACAGAATGTTCCATCTTCATCTTAGCATTGTAAACAAATAAAATCAATACCCATAAGGTAATATATAAGAGAGATAGGAAAAGCCTGCAATTCTCGTATTGGATCTGGCAAACGCAACATGAACTAAATTCTCATGGGCAGTTCTGAACTCAAGGGTCTAGTGATATTATGTCCTGAGTTGCAACTAAGAGCTGTATCCGTATCTTCATGCTCACCTACTCCTCTCCATAGAAGAAGGCAAGCACTAAGTTCACCTACAATTAATAATTTAAAAATGCCCTCAGTGATTTTCTGTATCAGTAACATTTCTGTTTGCATTGGCACTACATCTCAGACAAACGAGGACAAAAAATACTGTAACTTTATTTGGCTGAAGAAAAAAGAGAATTCTGGAATGTACAACTTTTGTGATTAA